TCCCCACACAGCTTGAACTCATAGTGATCCTCCTCTCTAGGACTCCTCAGTGCTAGGATTACAGGCATGTGCCACCCCACCCCTTAGTCCATGGCTCAGTGCCCCTTGGGGTGGGGCCAGCACTGCATGTGGTGCTAGGGATCAAACCCCAGTCCCTGTGCTTGCCTAAACAGGCACTTAGTCTGCTGAGTTATCTTGCCAGCCCTAAAAAAGGGGCAACACTTAATAAGAACTTGGATTGAAATTCTAGTTCTTCCTTCAATAAAGAATTTAAATAACCTGGGGCAAGTCAATCTCTCCCTGAGTCCCTAACCTTTGTAAATGAGAATAATACTAATAAATAAATGTATAACAATTGCTCAATAAAAGATAATTATTAAAATATTGGCAGACTGTTTAACTTAATGAGATATATTTTGATTATGATAGGTCTTAGCACTACCTCATTCTTACTTCAGTTCCTTGGTATTCAGTTTTAATAAGTATTATGTACTCTAATGACTAACTTGAGTGGGAAGCAGGATTAAACTAGAAAAGAAAAAAAGCAGTCTCTTTTTTTTTTCTGTATTTTAGGGAAGGGTCTACAGAGTGTTCAGGGTCTCATTTCTAGATCAAACTCATAGTGATTCGCCTGTTTACAGCTTCCCAAGTGTTGGAATTACAGGTGTGTGCCACCACACCCAGTCTCAATCGCCCTTTCAGGGCGCCCCGGGGTTGGAGCCAGCATGGCAGGCCTGGGATGGAACCCCCAGCCCCTGTGCCTGCTTGTAGGCACTTTAATCCACTGAGCTATTTGGCCAGCCCTTAGCAATCTTGCATTTTGCCACCCATTAACTAATATGGAAAAAGTAAAGTGAAAAAAATAAATGAAACAACAGATGTAAAACTTGGTTTTAGGTTTGGGTATTTTTTATTTTTATTTTCTTTTTCATGGTGCTGAGAGACCAAGCCAAGGGCCTTAAACTGAGCTATATCCCCAGCCCAATTTTGATATTTTAAAAAGCAGTATTTCTCATACAAGTAACACTTAATGATATGAATCCTACAAATTCAAGTATTATGTCTTTGCCACTGTAGTAGAACAGATCTCTCACTTAGGGTCCTGTTTTTCTTCAAACAACAAAGAAACTGAACTGTACATATCTGCTCTAGGTTTTCAACCTAACTAAAATTATTCAGTCACCTTGTGAGATTTTCTCATATTCCATAATTTCCCATATTCCAACTTATATCCTTTTTACTTTTCTCAAATTAATACTGTTTTCTTTTTCCTTCCTATTTCCTCTTAACTGTAAGAAAAAATTTTCACATAAAATTAAGCTCCTCTGCTTCTCATAGTTCCTTACTCTAGACTTCGCTATTTTCTCAAGCAGATTTTGATTAGCAGCAGACTTACAGAGTGAGTAGGAATTTCTAAAAATATAGCTGCTGTTAATTGAGTACTTTTGTGTTGTTTATTACAGGGCTTAGGATGTTAAGACAACATTATATATATATATATATATATATTTTTTTTTTTTTTTACTTTTAAATTTTATTTGTACTTGTGTACAGTATATGCAGTTTACAATCATCTTGGTGAGTGGGTACATGTACATACTATAGCTTATTTTTTCCATTTCCTGTTTCCTCCCGCCTATATTTTCCCATCCCTATTTTCATTATTGTTGATATTATTAAATTTAGCTCATGTTATGCCATCTAATGTTTACATTCATTAAGGTTATTAGGTTTCTAGTAATTAACCTATCAGGCCTGGGCTAGGACTGGATCTGGGGGTTCCGAAATGTGGCAGAAATTCCTACTCGCAGGGCGGTGTGGGGGAGGTGCTGCAGCATGGTGGGGGACGTCCCAAGGGGGTGGAAGAGGGTCTCACCCATGCTGCGCCTGGGCTGGGACCAAGACAATATTATATTTTTGCACTTCATTTATTCATTCAAAATATTTAGTAAGTACCTACCACATACTGGGCACTGTGTTAGGTGGAGGATGTAGAATGGTGAGTAAGAAACAATTTTGCATTCTCAATTTTATATTCAATTGTGAAACTACAATCATATAATGCTTAAAATACAGTACAAGCAAAAATTTTGAAAAACTCCTGCACTCAAATATTCACAACCCTGAAGTTATCGCAGTCATTACTTGCATTATCTGAATAACTGAGAAGTCAACTAGTCGTATGTTATCACCAGCTTGTAGCAGATGTTAAATTAAGAATAATTTTATAAGCTGATTGTTAAATAAAGACATTATTTAAAAAGGAACTTAAAAATATTATTTAATGCAATACAAGTAGATATCAATAAAGATCATATAAAAACCTCTATAAAAACAATTTTATAATAAAAGAGAATAACAATGGTTAATATTCTGAGTATCCTGAAATTTTAAATACTAACAAGCAAACTATTCAAAACAAAGGCAGCAAATACTCTATATTTATCATCTTAAGATTATTTTATTATCTTTTACTATTACCTATGTACTTGAAATTATTTACATCTACATTAGTGGTAATATTATATAATGGTGTGCTATTTTGCCCCTTCTGCCCACTCTCCTCAAGAAAATGACAATGTTATTATAATGGTCAGGGAAGAAGTATTTACACCACAGAACTCACTAAACACTTCACGCCCCCATCTCAATTGCTTTTCTGTTGTTGCTGGGACAAAATACACAACACCCAAAATTAAGGAAGAAAAGGTTTATTTAGCTCAGTTTGTGGAAATTTCAGTCCATACAGCTGGCTTCAAGGCAGAGTGGCACACAGCAGGAGCAACAGCTCATGTCCGCAGAAAACAGCAAAAAGCAAATGGAGGAGCAGTGGCTGGGCCGGCTAACAAGCCTCTCTCCTTCCCTTATATTGCTCGCAGATTACCTATCCCAGGATGGGTGTGGCACTCACACCCATAATTCCACATTGAATCATGAATGAATCACAAACCATAGAAGCTGCCCCAATGACTACATGAGGCTTTGGAGGGACAACTAGACACAAACCATAACACTCCTCTAAAGCTTGATGCTTATCAGAACATTTTATTGTCCTTTAAAAATACCAAATTTTTTAAGATCTAGGTTCAAATTTCTTGGGTAGGGGCAGGGGATATAGCTCAGTGGCATAAGCACCTACCTGGCAAGTGCAAGGTCCTGAGTTCAATTGCCAGTACCGGAAGAAAAAAAAAAAAAAGGACCTCAAATTTCTTGGGTATGTTAATTATCATTCCCTACCTTTTAATATAGAGTAAGTATGGTGAATATATTCTTTCATTATTCTTAAAACAACTCTGGGTCATCAATTGGAACACTTACTATTACACTGGGCTATGGTATTAAGCTTAAAAACCATTTGTCCTTACTGAAAAACTCAGCCTATTAGGCTGTCTCTCTTATGGGAGATGAGTGATTCCTTTTCTCATCGACTATCAACTGCTGATAGGTTCTGGGTTTCAAAATCTAATTCCTTTACACACCTATAATATTCAAATAACGGAACTTAACAAAAAAGGGTATACAGATGAATGTCCATTTTGTATCTGTGTATTCAAAGTTGTTGGGATAGATATATAGTTGCATTCTCTTAATGAATAGAATGATTTGTTCTAATGGTGTTTGTAAATAGGATAACAAGTCTGCATCTTGTACAGCAATTAACCACTAAGAGGAATGTATGCAGTGTGTTAATTATTGAAACTGTCCTACCGATCTGATTTGAAACTGTCTCAATGCTATTTATTTATCAATAAAACTATGCCAAAAAAAAAAATCAAATTCCTTAGCACTACAAACAGACATTCTCAGAGAAGGCATTTCTTATTACTATTTGTTGCACAAACTTTATTAGCTCTATTTTCACTACCCATGGCTTACTTTTTATTTCTAAGGTAAATTCAGGATAGGCAATGGTTAAGAAAGTTAAATTTGGGCCGGGGAGAATGGCTCAATAGAATAAGTGCTTCCCTGGCAACAGCAAGGGCCTGAGTTCAATCCCTGGTTCCACAAAAAAAGAAAAAAAAAAAGAAAGTTAAATTTAATCCAAACCAGGTTGACATAAAAACTCGAAAGTAAATACTTTAGCTAAGTCAAAACTGAATTTTAAAGAAATGCAAGGTACTTACGAGAATACATAACATTGAAGAGATGTTGAAACAACTAAGTGTGCATAGTTTAAAGATGCTTTAATGACTCTGTCACGAAATTCCAATAAATCCACTGCATCGTTAAGAACATTCCGAACCTAAATAAGGAGAAATGAAATACCAATAAATGTTAGAACATCAAAATTTTAGTAAGTCAGCAAGATTCTGAAACACAAAAAATTCAATGCATTCTTAACTACCTAACCATATAACATTACTGTCAGAAAATT